TTATATTAAAATAATAACTACATTTTTAATAATAATACTTTTTTCCTAAAAACAAACAGCAACCAACATTAAATGGGCTGCTAAGCCTCAATGGACTTTGTAGTTTGAAAACACACCCCATTTTTGTTATTCAAACCCCAAAATAAATGGGTCAAATGAAATCTGATTGACTTTTAAAAAATTGTCATTTCACCCCCTCCTTTCGCTATTTATCACCAAAACGGAAATGGGCCAACATGAATTCTAATGGACTTTAAATTTAACGTTTCACCTCTTCTTTTTACTAACAACAATAATACTTAATGGACCCTTATGTAGCAATTATTAATTAATAGTAACTTAAATTTAAGTAGACTTTATAATTTAATATCTTAGTATTAATTTTATTATTTTTCTTTTGAACCGCATGGGCCATGGGCCAACATGCGTTGTGAACAGATTTATGAGTCTTTCCGATTTAGAATGCCCCATTTTCTTGAATTAAAATACACCCCTTTTTTCTTGGATAAAGATGGGCCATCAGGTACTGATGTACCATCCTTAGTTAAATCTTTCTTGTATTTTAATCTCTAAGAACAGAATTATCGAGGTAGGACAAATTTGGGGTACGACAGCAAGTCGGTTACGTAACATGGAAAGTCATAATAGTTACATGCAGTAATTGATGAGGCTCATACACCTCTATATATAGGGCTCCCGACTGAGGGGCAAGCAAGACACATTGCTTGGAGCTTACGCATTCTCGTGTAGGCCTCTGAATCCCTCCATATCATAAACAACATCCTCTCACTCGTTTAAGGTTCTCTCTGACATCCTCCGAGCAGCAGGGAAATCTCATATTTAGTGTTTAACAAGAACAAAAATTTAAAAACATTTTTTTAACAATTTAAAACAACTCAAATAGTGAGAAAATCATAAAAAATATCAAATCATAATATAAAATAATGAAAAACTCATAATCAGAAAGAGAATATTCAAAAGTATATTTTTTTTTTCATAATTTGAGTTTAAAATGATTTTTTATGATTTTTTTAATTTAAAAAAGATTAAAAATAAAAATCTGAAAATAAAATAAAATAAAACCTAAATAATATGGTGCGTTGAGTGGAGTCAACTTATGAGAAGTAAGCAGATCCAATGGTCAACATAGCAGCGCACGGTGGAATATTAGTGCAAATAATACACATGATCCATTTAAAATGAACCAATCAGAAATAAACAAATGGCACTTCCTCATTGGTTGAGATGCCAAGTCATCGTCTTCAACCTCAGGAGGCCAAAGTTATAGAGAAATCGAAGGTAGTAAAAATGGATCAAACTAGTATCATCTTGTTCATCTTCTCAACGCCATTACAACCATGTAATTGGTTTGAATTAACAATGAAAGACGAATGAGAAATTTGAAGAAAACTAGAGGATCGTGAAACTTCAAATCATAATGAAATGCTCATTTCTCAACAAAAATCAAAAGTAGAAGATGCATGAGCTTCATGGATGAAAGGACTATAGGTCAATGCAAAGAAAATTCTCAAAAAGTGAGAGAATCTACCAGTTGAAATTCAACTAAGAAGCTCTGAAAGTGAACTTGGTGAGAGAAAATGGAGGCATGATTCTTCAATGTAAGGTGTGGAGAAGTTTCACTGAAGTGCAAGGATGCTTCAGTGATACTCAATTTGGCTTGTGGAAAAGGTTTGGAGTAAAAACGAATTTGAGAATTTGGAGTGTGAGATGAAGTTCGGGTAGGGCTTCTTTGGCTGTCCGAGCATGCAAAAATGAGTGGGCGAGCTGCCTTATTTATAGGGGAATTGAGTAGTGATAAGAGTGAGAAGAAATTGTGAGAGAATTGTGTCAAACAAGTGAACTTGATTGTGTGTGTAAAGTATGATCTGCACATGGTCAAAACACATTTAAACCTTGCGTTTTAGGCATTAAACATCTTTTGGAATCTTATTAGAAGTGACTAGTGAAAGAATCATGTGCAAAGCTTGCTTAATTTGTGAATTAACAAGTTCAAAAATCTGATTATCGAGCAAAGATGTCAATCCATGGTGCCTTATTCAAAGATGCCTAACTCAAGATGTAGGAAGCTTTATGGATATGATTCCTTTTGTAATGGATAGTCTTCATCACAATCTCCATACTGTGCCAAAAAAAGTTTCAATTTGGATACTTGAGCTAAGAGTTGTGTCCATTTGAATTTATGAAAAACACATTGACTTTTATACTTAGAAATATTTCTAAGTATAGATTTCCAAAATGACCTGTAATGCATTTCAACCTTAAAAATCCTTCCATCCAAAATTAGCTTTTGATCCCTGAAGATGAAATGAAGTAGACTCTTAAAATTGAATTGTGGATTTGAGATCACTCAAGAATCATAAAAGTTGAGAGAGTTATGGTCCTTGGAATCTGGTGGAAATTTCTTGTGAAATCTATAAATGACCTATAATATTTTCACCAATTACATAATTTTCCACACCCTTTTAGATCTTGATCTTTGAATCAAAGTTTTAGTAGACACCGTCTAGTTTATTGTGAAAAAGAATAATCTCAATGAGGTAAAAATTACTTAAGTTATGATCTCTTAAAGTCAAGTTAAGGATTTCCATAGTCTCCTCAAAGGACTTATGATCTTTTTAGGTTTTTGATGATTTTCCTTGCACAATTGGATCTTTTCATGTAAAGGGAAGTTGCTGTAAATGATAAGAAGAGTCTATAGTAAAAATAAACACGTCAAAATATTGAAAATTGAGAGACTTATGCACTTGTGACCATAGAATCAAAGACTAGTCCAAATTAAGTCAAACAACTTGGATCAACTTTGAATCTTTTAAACTTTTGTTACAACTTAAGGCATGAAGAATCACATTAGACCTTGAAATGAGTTATATTGAAGCACACTTGATGAGAAGGCTCAATAATTGATGAAAATTGTTGAATAAGGCATGGAAATAAACACCTAAACCTATGAAGTTTCTTGATGAGTTCAATCTATAACTTTTAGACAATCTTGACCAAATAAAATTGAGAGAGTCCTTAAACCTTAGAACTTTGATGCCATAATCATAGCCTTGAAGTTCAAGCCGTTAAAATCCACTAAATAGCCAATTGAATAAGGATCATCCTTTAAAACCCTAGCTTAAGAGGTGGGAGAGATGTACTTGGCTAAAAGAGATGTACTTGGCTCAATACCTATAATGTACAAAGCATAGAGGGGAAACATAAATTTTTTGGATTTTGGTTAGAGGTTAATAAGCATAAAATAAATATACAAGATACACAATCTAAGGTTTTTGGTGATCCCTCAAGAGAAAACTCAAAAATACGAGAGAGTAGAAATGAGAACCAACCCTAATGTGTTATCTTGATGCATTGTGATGATATGAAGTTACGAGGGATCTTAGGGGCAAAAATTGGGGTATAACACATGAGACAACTTTTTATTCCAAACCCAAATTATCAAAAACTATAAAAATATTATATTTTATATATCAATAATGAATATTATATAAAATAATTAAATTATTGTATTTAATATATAAATTTATCAAATAAAATAGATTAAAAAAATTGTCCAGTGCCTCAATTATCAAACACAGTATAGTACAAAAAATTATTTTGTACTGTTCTACCCAGTACTTATCATTTTGAAAATCAAGTGCACCCTTAGATAACATTTAGTACACTAACTAAATTGTCATCAAGTTTTTGACGATGTTGTTAGGGATTATTGAATTATTTCATTAAAGCAATTTTTGTCCTATGATTTTTTTTTAATTTTTTGTTTTTGTTATTTTAACTTTTAGTTTTATTATAGTTTCCCAATTCTCTTCTTATTTTTTATCTAGTTTACTGCTACTGAGGTATTTTTCTTCTGATTATGTATGTGAGGTCAAGGAAAACATGTATGATGAAGATGACTTTAAACTTACTCTGTTAGCACCACTTCAATATTTATCAAAGCAAATTGCTGCCTCAACTCTTGTTCCAACTAATGTTAATCTAGTTAGGGCATTACGATGTGATTTTTATGGTGAAGGTCATGCCAATGACCATTGTATATTAGAGAGATACGTTAAAGAGGTGCATTATGAGACAAAGTATCAAGAGCCATATCCTTACTTCCACACATATAATCCATGGTGGGAAGATCATATAAATCTTAAATGGAGTAACACTCAACGGAAATTTTTAACCATGAAGCTCCTCAAGATCCACCACCAAAGACGTCATCCCTTCTAGAAAATACTTTAAAAATTCAAGAAGTTTACTCAAAAGAAACTTTGAAGTAATGAAGGCCACTCAAGAAATATGTGAAAGGGAACCATCTCTTCTAGAAGAGAATATAAACAATGTTTGATCTTACTGGACAAGGGAAAAAAGACGTCAATAAAACCTCAAAGGACATTGAGGTTCCTAGTACTCTAGCAACTTCTACGAAACATCTAACAAAAAAAGTTCTTGAGATCGCACTCATTCAAATCTTCTTTTCAAAAACTGGAATACCTTTACATATTCCTAAGCCATTGGGGGAAGTTAAGAAGGGGTAATCTTGAGGTGATTTAAAACCCCCACTTTGAAGTCTTGAAGGATAATCTAAACCCATCCTATAGATCATAAACTTCTGATGAGGCAGTGAACATGTGTTGAAGTATTTGCACATCCACTTACTAGATTCTATATGAGAAACATGCTAATTAGAAGACAGGTTAACGTCCCTATGAGAATTTTTCAACCTACGTGCCTTGTTAAAGATGAAGGTCATCCATTGTAGTGATCTTTCTAGCAAGGGATGTCGGTCAGTGTCATCCAGAAGCTCGAGATTTTACTGTCCCCTCTGAACTATCTCCTCCTCACTATTAACAAATAAAAAAATCACGACCACAAGTTCTAGAGCGATCCCAAAATTTTAGATACCTCCTAACCTCATCATCACGAGGCTCCATGATGTTCAAAGTCGTAAAAGCTTTCATATAAACACAAGCCCTCAAGTTACCCCGCTAATCCTCAACCCTTTTTAAGTTCACCACGAGTACTTGAGGAAAATAAAAAGCAGAACGAACTTGCCTGATTTCAAGCCTAAATGGGTTAACCCTTCCATCTTTCTCCACAGGCTCCTCTAGATCCTCGTCATCTTGACGAGCCCCAGATTTTTTACCACCATCATCATAACTCATCCTTAAATCATAACAAGCACTAGTCTTTAAAATATTCACATGGACAAGTATCATCGCTAGAGAACCACATGTAACCTCTTTGGGTCAATCACTCTAATGTGCGAGAAAGAATTTTGTATCTCATCCCCATTAGATAAGTTCACAAAATTCATGTTAGGGTTTCCTAAATTTTCCTTAGCTAAAGAAAGAATTGGAACAACAATAATGAGATAAAGAGAGATAAGTATTAACTCACAGAAAATGCAAAGATGGAAGCAAACGAAGCAATGGGGAAATCACCCAAAAACTTAGAAATGACGATGGAATGCAAAATCGAGGAAGAGACACACATGAACAAATCAAAGTGTCGCTTAAACTCATGGAAGAACAAAAGGAAACCTGTGAGAGGAAAAGCGTTTGGGCAAGAAGATAAAAAGAAGACAAGAGGACGAATCTACAATCCAGAACTGGGGGAGGCTCAGAAGATTGAATCAATGATGGAGATAAACCACGAGATCGCAACGACACTCGAGTGCACTTGATTACTTTAAACGATAGTGACACTCCTTACTCTATCGACCTAAAGCCACATGTAGAACTGACGATACGAAACATTCTAGTGATGGGACATATATGTAGTGCACATGTTCTTTAGGCCATATGTTCCAAATAATTAGACTTTACCACTCTCACCACATAAAAGAGAAGACCTGCCCAAAAATACAAGACGAGAATAGAAGACAAGTCAGTGATATTAATCCTTAGTTCACTGAGTAATAATAAAGACTTGAGTGACAATTGTTCTGGAATGGCCAAAGGCCTAACGTGGCAAACCCAATTATGATGGCCTAATCTAGAGATGAACCAAGTAGGACGGGTGATTAGGTGGTACCGCATCAGAAAGCCGAGCACTTGATGTGAATCGACCAAGCATCGCCCAGCATTAGATCTGATCAGACGACTTTCCGGATCACACGTTGGGTTAGACGGAGGCGGTTTTCAACCGCCTTTCATTTATAAATAACACTACAACATGTTGTTTGCAAGTATTATCTCACTCTTACTCTCAAACTATATCTCATGGATTTCCCTAACTTGAGTGTTGGAGTGTTAACCTTGCAAATCCTCTTGATTCCGTTGTACCTGAAACTCTCACCGCTATACCAGAAGAATTCATTCTCCTAACCTCTCTTTTCTCGTTCCGCCACGGAACAAAAATATCATGTCATAAATTTTAGAAGAATCGTACTTCTTATCATTTAGTCATAGATACATCAATCTAATGCAACAAATAAGAGATAACATAAATAAAAGCATGACTGAAATTATAAACTCTTTGAAAAAAGAGAAGTTATTGCAACAAAGATAATAACTCCTTGAAGTTTAGTTCTATTAATAGAATTGCTAATAATTATAAAATTTAAAGTTTACATAGTGAAACCTCCATCTGCAGCTATAATTTGTCCGGTTATGTGTGAAGAAGCTGGAAGACAAAGAAATGCAACCAATCCTGATATGTCCTTAGATTCTCCCATCCTACCAGCCGGCGATTTAGACACTATATCTTCAACGGCATTATCCACTCCTTCAGATAATTTCTGTAACAAGAGAAATTGTAATAGAAATCACATGAGCTTAAAAAATAGAGATTAGAAACATTATATCAGGATATATGTACCATAGCATTCTCTAAGAGTAAGGTCTTGACAGGTCCAGGTGCCACAGCATTAGCTCGAATATTATCCTTTGCCCATTCCAATGCTACGTTCTTAGTAAACTGATTCATAGCTCCTACATAAAAATATTTATATTGAAAATAATAATCATCTTCTACAGTTCAATTCCTAGTTAAAGAATATATATTATATGAATGTAAATAAACACACCTTTAGAAGCTGCATAGGCAGAACAAGAATCAAAGGCTTTCAGACCTCCAATTGAGGATATGAATACTATGCTTCCATATCCAGATTCTTTTAGAAGTGGGTGTGCAAGTTGACACAAATGGTAACCAGACACAAAATTAGTACTCATTATAGTTGCTACATCTTCATCGGTATAATCCATGATAGGTTTAGGAGTAAATATCCCAGAATTGTTTACCTAACAAACATTGTTAATCAATATAAATAGTTAAACAAAAATTAAAAGTCAATTATTTATCATTTTTAAAATCTAATTTGAATGATAAATTCTTACTAGAATATTGAGTTTTCCATTAAAAACTGTAGCAACAGTTTCCATTAATTTTTCACGTTGGTCACGGAATAGTAAATCACATACTGATCCTGTCACCTTAAATCCTTTATTTTTCCACTCTTCCAAACATTTGTTAATATCTTCTTCATTTCTTGAACATATATGCACCGCTGCTCCAAATTCCGCTAACTCTTCAACAATGGCGTACCTAATTCATAATAATACCAAAGTATGAGAAAAAATTAACATGATAAATTGCATGTTGCCATTAGAGATAAAATTTGTATTAAAGAACTGACCCTATGCCTCGGGTTCCACCAGTTACTAGAGCTGTCATTCCTTGGAGTGACCATCTTTTATCTTTGAAGCTGCTCAACTTTGTTTCTGCCATTTTTTTTGTTACTAGTTAATTAATTAGTATGTTTTGGTTGTGAATTTGAGAGAAATGTTGACAAACCGTTCCATAAAAACTCTGATATATACAAAGTACACCTACCAAATTTGTGGTCCAAAAACTCTTATGTTGCTTGTCTACTTCCGATAAAGAACATTCTAGGTTTTATTATTCATCAAATTTTTGTATCTAAAAACCAAATTTATTAATACTGTACATTTTAAGTTTTATTGTGAAAATTACGATGAATAAGCAAAAAAAAAGGTATGAAACAGGAACGACAAAGGAGAATTAGAGACTTATGATTCGAAGCTTAAATCAAACTTATTTCTTTGACTTATTTGTTTTGTTTCCGGTACGTAAATATATTTTTCAGATGTGTATCAGTAATGTTGTTGTTGTTGTTATATTAAAAATTTAATGTTGTTGTTGTTGAGATTTAAGGTTTAATTATTGTTATTGTTGTTTTTTTGTTGATGTTGTTGTTGTTATTGTTATTGTGATTGAATGTTTAATTATTATTGTTGATGAAATGGAAGGTTCAATGTTGTTGTTGTGTTAATTTGCCAAGGTCTTGACATCTCTCTTAAAGGTGTAGAGAAACTTTAGTTTAATTTTGGTTGTTAAAATGAGTAGTTTATAAATGCAACTTAGCAATATGTGTCAAATTTAATATAAGTGTAAATTTAATGGCATACTCCAAATTTGTCCACCTACGTTGCAATCTCATTTTATATGAAATTAATGGGACACCACGATTGACATAGCATATTTAAGGAGTTATGAATATATAAAATCTCGGGTTTGAATCTTGTTTGCTCTATTTTAGACATTTTTCTTTTATTTGTTGCTAATTATACTCTTGTTATCTTTTAGAGTTTTATTGTTTTACATTTTCTAAATTTTTTGTAATCTTTTATATTTTAATTTTTAGTTGCTAAAATATTAAGATCTTTAGGATTGTGGTCACTTTTTAATTTTAATTTTAATTTTAATTGTTATTTGTGTCACTTTATAGAATTTTTATTTTTAGAATTATAGTATATTTTTAGGTTTACTAGAATTATTATTATTGAAAAAATGAAAGAAATGTGTGAATTAGTAGAAAAATTAAAATAAGTAGAAGTTGTTATTTAGATTTTTATCATCAAAATGTGTCACGATTTCATGAAGCAAATTGTCAACAATTAGTTCTAAATCTTTTTAAAATCTCTTAAGTCAAATTCCTCCTGAAACAGTCCAATCAATTCAAAATTCAAAATTTTCAGAACACCAATTATAGAAGAACAATAAGATATTTTCCATCCTCATTCATCATGTAAATCACAGTAAATGAAATCTTCTAAAAGAAGCAAAATTAGTTCAATCTCCATTCATGAGCTTAATTAGAAACAAATGTAAATCACGATTTCAAAGAACTTAATCTTCGAATATATTGCACAAAATCTCAATCACTATTGATTTCTTCCAATCAACAAAATCACGGTCGATATTTTCAAATCTCAAATCACCTTCAAATTTCTTCAATCAGACATAAACATCTTCAATCATAATATTGAGGAAAATCACAAAAAATCACTTTTTTTATTATTAAATTGTTATTTTCATATTTTTTAATTTATGATTTTTTAAAAATAGTTTTTTTTTTCAATTTTTAATTAAAAAATAACCAAAAAATCATATAAAATATAAAAACAACAAATCACATAATTTGTCACTTTTTGATTGGTCACATGTTGACAAAACTAATTTCTCATTAGCCAAAGTTTGTAGACTTGCTGACCAAGATAAAATCATAAACTTTGGGCTATTCTTAGTGTGGACTATTTCCTTTTTGGGGGTGTCTTTAACCTAATTTCAAATATATAAATATGATTTTTTTCATCATAAATTTTTCATCAGCAACCATTTGGAGAATCAATAATCATTTGCAGATCCACAACTCACTAGAGTTCTCCTAATAGTTGTTGTTCTTCACATCAAAGAACAACAACAAAGAAACTTTGAAGTCTCCATCAACAATCATGTGGAAATCAACAATCTCTTACAATCAACAGTTTTTCAATAGTTTTCTGTTGTTGTCTTTAACAGACAATGATGAAGAATTTCAAAATAGTCAGAGTTCGAAGTGATCATGGCAAAGAATTTGAAAATAAAGATTTTGAAAAACTTTTTGATTCAAATGGCATAGTACATGATTTTTCTTGTTCTAGAACTCCACAAAAAAATGAGGTTATAGAAAGGAAAAATAGAACACTGTAAGAAATGACTTGCACCATGATTCAAGAAACTCAAATGGCTAAGCACTTCTGGGCAGAAGTAGTGAATATAGCGTGTTATGTTCAAAATAGAATCTCCATAAGACCTATTTTGAGTAAGACTCCTTCTGAATTGTGGAAGAATAGAAATCCCAACATTTCCTATTTCCATCCATTTAGATGAACTTGATATATGTTAAACACTACAGAGAATCTAGGTAAGTTTGATTCCAAGGCACATAAGTGTCTGTTATTGGGATACTCTTGACGCTCTAACGGCTTCAAAATTTATAACACAGAATCAAGAATCGTGGAGGAACCAATCCATGTCAAATTTGATGATAAGCTTGACTATGAAAAGTCAAAGCTGTGTGAAAAGCTTGTAGATATAACCATAATGTTCGCTGAACCAAAGGAGAAGATTCAATAAGATAAAGAATCAGAAGCTCCTTCTTTTTATATTGTTGATAGTTCTTCTAATTAACCTTAACCAATGAAGAACAAAATCACATCCTTTCATCCTGAAGACCTTATCCTTGGAAGTAAAGATGCTCTAGTCAGAACAAGATCAGCTCTCAAACCTTTTGATGAAGTGCTTATGGGTTTAGTTTCTTTAATAGAACATTCATATATTGAAGAAGCCCTTCTAGATAAATATTGGATTCTGGCTATGGAAGAAGAACTAAACCAATTGTCAAAGAACGATGTATGGGATCTTGTTCAGAAACCTAAAGGTGTCCACGTCATTAAAACCAGATGGGTGTTCAGAAACAAGCTCAATGAGAAGGGTTAAGTTGTTAGAAACAAAGCACGACTGGTCACACAAGTTTATAGTCAACAAAAAGGGATAGACTATAGAAAAACCTTTGCACCAGTCGCCAGGTTAGAAGCTATTCGGTTGTTAGTTTCTTTTTCTGTCAATCATAGCATTATCCTTTATCAGATGGATGTTAAGAGTGAATTTCTGAATGGTTATATTTCAGAAGAAGTGTATTCAAACAACCTCCTGGCTTTGAAAAACTCTGAGAAATCATACTTTGTTTTTAAACTAAAGAAATCTCTTTATGGCTTGAAACAAGCTCCCAGAACTTGGTATGACAGATTGAGTAATTTTCTTCTAGAAAATAAATTTACCAGAGGAAAGGTTGACACCACACTCTTCTGCAAAACTTTCAAAAATGATATTCTAATTATTCAAATTTATGTTGATAATATTATTTTTGGTTCTGCTAATCCATCCCTCTGCGAGAAATTCTCTAAACTAATGTAGTCTGAGTTTGAAATGAGCATGATGGGAGAACCGAACTTATTTTTGGGAATCTAGATTGATAAAAAAACTAGATGCTACTTACATACATCAAAGTAAGTATACCAAATAACTACTGAAGAAATTTAACATGACAGACTGCACTGTAGCAAAGACTTCAATTCATCCGACATGTATTTTGGAGAAAGAAGATGTAAGTGGAAAGGTTTTCCAGAAGATCTATCGTGGTATGATAGGCTCTCTTATGTATCTGACTATATTTAGACCTGATATCTTATTCAATGTTCATCTTTGCGCTAGATTCTAATCTGATCCTAGAGAGTCCCATTTAACTGTTGTTAAGAGGATTATATGGTTTCTAAAAGGAACCTCTAATCTTGGCTTGGTATATGAGAAAACATCAGAGTATTCTCTTTCTGGTTTATGTGATGCAGACTACGCTGGAGATCGGCTAGAGAGGAAGAGTACTTGTTGAAACTGTCATTTTCCAGGCAAGAATATGATCTCATGGTAAAACAAGAGGCAATCAACAATTTCTCTTTCAACAGTAGAAGCAGAGTACATTTCAGCAGCACTATACAATACTCAGATGTTATGGATGAAGAATCAGCTAGAAGGTTATCATATTTATGAGAGTAACATTCCTATCTTATGTGATAATACCACTGCTATTTGCTTAAGTAATAATCCTATCCTACACTCTAGGGCTAAGCACATAGAAATCAAACATCATTTTATTAGAGATTATGTTCGAAAAGGTATCCTATCTTTGAAATTCATAGATACAGACCATCAGTGAGCTGATATTTTTACAAAATTCTTAGCTAAAGATAGATATTTGTTTATTCTAAAGAATCTTAAAATGGATCCATGTCCAAAGTAATATGTCATTAGAATCAAACATGTTTTAGTCGTAGTCTGAAGGGATAAAATTCTAACTTAAACAAAATACTTCTAATTTGTTTTATCTCATCCGTCAGAAGATGTTTTGGTTAGAAATGTTCTTGATCAGATGGAAATCTTCGTGGTTTTATAGATGCTGAGAATATCAAATCCATTATCTAAATAGACTTAGTGTCTATCACACTCTACCTAGGTCATGCACGAGCAGTTATTTTTCTTAAAATTGATTAATCATGATTACAATTATTTAACTACTCCTTTTCACTATGTCTTGGGAACAGTCGTTTCATGTCATACCCATATGCCTTTTAATAATCAAGTTCTGGAAAATGTTCTCTAAAAAGAGCTGCTTACATTCTGACCCAGTTAAAATTCTGTTTCTGTTAGAATTGCTTTCTTTTTCAGGAAATGAGAAATTTGATTAAAGACAAAGATCTGAAAGCATTATACAAGGCCTATGTCTAACTTGTTGGTTTCAGACTTGGCTCCGAGATTTGAAACCTGGAATCATACTC